AAAAAAAAAAAAAAAAAAAAAAAAAAAAAAAAAAAAAAAAGGCCCTCCGCGGCGGCCCCGGTCACTGTGGCCGGCGCCGCGCGCGGAGTGGGGACGCGTGCCATGGAGGAGACGCCGCCCCCACTGCAAGCCGGCAGCAAGCCGCACCTGGAGAAGCTGACCCTGGGCATCACTCGCATCTTAGGTGAGTGGACAAGGAAAAGGACAATGGCTGGGAAAGGACGAGGGCGAAGGGCTGGGGTTGGGTGCGCTGCAGGGAGCTGGACCTGACTGCACGGGTCATCGCTGTCGAGAATTCCGCAGAGGAGGAGGAGAAAAGAGGAGGGTGTGTGTGTGATCAGGCCGCTAAGTGTGTGCGGAGAGTTCGGGGTGGGGGTGGGGGTAGCCTTACACCTGCAAGGGGAGCAGAGACAGGTGCTCCCGGACTCTGGGGGTGGGGGCTGGGGACACTTGTCTCCCTGGAGACCTCCTCAGCTCGGGTCGTAGCCCTGAACTGCAAGCCCTGCTGGTAGTCGCACGGTGCACTGAGGTCATGGTGCTGCCAGTGTCCCAGGGCAGCTGCTGGCCAGCGCTTCCTTGCACAGCACCGAGCTGTGGAGAGGAGCTGACCATGCTGAAGGAGTTGAGAGTTGTTCTTTCGGTTGGACATTGGTTAACTAACCACCGCAAAGCGAAGCACATTCACTTCCTAACCGCCCAGAGCGAATCAGTAATGTTTCCCTGACTAATCAGAGGTAGCAGAGACCTAAAGGTACCTGGCCTTTCTGGGTCGCGAAGGAGAATCATTTCCCAGAGATGATTCTAGATTTTCTGAGATAAAGGGAGGGGTCAGGGTAAAGCTGCCTAAGCCGGTTGAGAAAGTGTGCTGGAAATGCTTTCCTAACAACTGGAAAGGAATTGACATTTCTCTACGGTGACCCACAAGGTCCCTATGTGATCTGTTTCCATCTTCTTCACTGCTTTGAACCATGGTGGGATATGCTGTTGAGGCTACGACTTTAAAGACACTAAACTTGTTCCTAGTTACCTCCATTTTCAGTTTGCCCGGCCTTTCACCTGGAATTGTCTTCCTTTCATCATTAAGATTTCTGATCAAATTAGTATTATCTCTGATAAAATTTACTCTCATTCCCCCTTTTTTCATTTTAGCAGCAACTATTAGCACTGTGTTTATTTATGTGTTTATTTAGCCATTTTCTATAATATAAATCTGAGACCAGGCCTGATTTACCCTAGAAATGTGAGATTTGTTTAATATGTAAAAACTAATGTAATAGAATGTTAGTAGAATAAAGGACAACACCTACGTCATCATTGACTGCCAAAAAGGTACTTGAAAAAAATCCAGCACCCTTTGACTGAAAAAAAAAAAAACTTATAAATAGACTATTCCAGTAATATTGATACATCTTTTCAATCCCATCGCTGGGAAAGGAGTATAATGGTGATCATAAAGTCATGCTGTGCTACTGAGATTTTTTTCCCCTCAAACTAAAACCAAAAAAGAATAAATAGAGAATTTTATTGTCTAATAAATAGAGAATTTTATCATCTTGATAAAGTGCATCTATGAAAAATCCCATAGCTAACTAACATCATGTTGATAGACTACCTGCTTTACTCTTAAGATCAAGAACAACAACAAAATATACTAAAAGTTTAGCAAAGCTGGTTCAGGTTTGCTAATGCACTAGACTCAATTTGTTCCAGCAGAAAAAGATAAAGCAAAATCAACAAAGAAAAAAAGTACAGGCATGGAGGTTAAGGAAACCCTGTGGAAGTTTTCAAGAGTTCTCTAACTGAAACCATACAGGACATACTTCATTTCCCTAACAACGTGTTTATAACAATGTGTCTGAAATGTGGGTCTGGAGAGGGCTCTTAAACTGAAGAGCCCAAAATTTTTTTGGCAGTTATTGGTTTGGACATTCTTTATCTAACATGTACCAAGTTTCAGTCTCCCAAAAGAAAAACTTTTATTCAACACACTTTATCTGCATTAATAATTTGGAGATAGTGAGCCAGGTTCCTTTAACAATGATGGGAACAAACCTCATTGAAATCCAGCTTCTCAGATGCCATCCAAGAGCCAACCTTTCAGAAAGGCCTGGTAAAGGATTGCAGTCTTGGTGTACTACGCTTGATCTTTTCAGTCTTAGCATTTCTTCTCAGCATTGTACTAGAGATTTTGGTCAGGAAATTAGGCAGAAAATAAAAATTAATTATAAGGGGAAATGTAAAGATACCTCTGTTTGTGAATGATATGCCCTTACAAATTAACCCTAAGGAATTCATACATGTGCACACTTGCGCCCACATGCGTACACATGTGCTCGCACATGCACACACTCACACACGTAGCAGAAGGCAATACAGAAATGAAACTAGGAAAGCAGCTGTTTACAATCTTAACAAAGGAATAAACTAGAAATATGTTAACAGAGAAGTCCATGACTTTTGCACTGAAATAGTAAAAGCTTTTTGAAGCATATTAAGAATAAAATGAGTGAGAAGAAATGTCATCTTTATAGAAGACTAGCTTTTTCCCAGGTAGTTCAGCAAATCTCAACAGCCACCATTGCAAAAGCTAACAAATTATGCAAAAGTTAATATCTAATATAAGAGACTAAGAATAACCAAAACAGTCTTGGAACAGAAGAACAAAGTTCCTCTTGCACATTCTTTTCTCTTTCTCTTTGAAAATTTACTATATTGAAGATGACTAAAAGTTTGAGAGATAGTAATACTAATGATTATAAACAATGTGAATAATCATGCTGCTGCTCTCTACACTTACATGTGATGAAAGAATAAATTTTATGTAAGGATAAATTTTATGTAACATATAGTTACTACATTGAAGATAATTTATTACAAAATTATAGTAATAGTTTTTTAAAGGGATACTGGCATAAAGAAAAAATACAGATCAATGGTATGGAATTGAAACGCGAAAACTAGCTGTCATGTTTAAGCTTTATTTTTTGTTTTACTTTATTTAAAAAACAAAACAAAACAAACTATCTTTTCTCATTTTATATATCAATCCCAGTTCCCTTCCTTCCTCCCATTCCTTTCACACACCCCGCACATTCCCCATATGCCCTTTCCATTCCTCAGAGAGGGTAAGGCACATTGCTTTGAGGAAGGACCAAGAGCCTCCCTACTATATCTAGGCTGAGCAAGGTAACAATCCAAAGAGAATGGGTTCCAAAAAGCCAGTACAAGCAGTACCTTTTTGGCCAGTGTATACATTTCCCTGAGTCTGAGGAAGTGACCTGTGAGTGTTCAGCACCCCTCTAGTACTCTTAGACACGGACATACCACCTGTTACAGTCTTTAAAGCTCTTGAATCTCACTGCCTGGACAGTCAACCAAAGTTTTTCTGTATCATTGGAACATCCATCTTCAGCCTTTTGGCCCACAGTATCTGTCAGACTTTCCCATGAAGCAGGAAATTTCAAAGACATTTCCACCAATATTGGCAATTTGTCAGTCACTTTCTTCTGTGTCCTCAAGAATGTCTTGCTAACTCTTTCATGAAGCAGAAACCCCAAAGGACCATCTCACCTTTAGGCAAGTTCAGCTGTCATTTTTCTGTGGGTCCTACTTATCCAGTTCATACAGCATAATATCAAGTAGTTCAGGCAAGAGCAGTTTCTTGCCCAAATTGCTAACAACCTTCATTAGTAGCCTCTTTGATGCCAATCTTCCTCTGGAAGTAATTGGTGCTGCCAGGATCAGAAGTGTGTTATTGTCATAAAAAGTCCTGTTATTAAAACATATTAAATGCCATATTGTGAAGGTCTCTGAAAGAATACCTATGTAACTGAGATATATCTCTGTAGATCTAGAAAAGCTGACTAACATGACTAGAAGCTTGAGTATTGTACGTGACTATCTATTAGCCTATATTTCTTAATTATATATTACATTTGTAAATGAGCAGTACAAACATAATACCTTAATGAAGAGCAGAAATATATATATATATATATATATATATATATATATAAAACAAAATTGATCTTAAATTTGTATCAATAGACCAAGATCCATACCAATGCAAAGTATTCATCTCTATAGTATATCCCCCTTTAAATGTAAAGAAACATTTATAAACAATCATTTAGGAAATTTGGGCATTGTTCTCTAAACTACTTCCTCCTGACTGGGGGCACTGTTAATCGTGTTTTTCATGGAGTATCCTGTGTGGTACGTTCATCTCAAACAGCAGTACTGAAGCTGTCATGGATGTGGGGCCATCTGGGCCATTACTTCAGGAGGCTCTTGTTTGATCAAACCATATTAGCCGATAAGGAATTCACAGCTTTCTATCCTCTGTAGAAACAAAAGCAGAGCTTCTTTTCCAAAACAGCAAATCCTTAGACCCAAATATTGAAGTCAAGAGCCCTTTAGAAATATATATGTTGGTTTAGCTTAGCAGCCTGTACAACAAAATATCTCTCTGTTCTTTGCTCCTTCATAGTCAAAAAAAATTATAGGAAACACAATAATATACATAATCTGGACTCTGTGTATATTCCATCTTTACGTGGCTTATTTTTCTTACTCTTATGTTTTCTACAATTTTAATATTTATTTTATTATCTTTACTCCTTTAATCTATGACTGTCTGTACTCTTTTATATTACATTTACTGTCACTTTACTCTTTTTCTTCTCTCTCCCAAGCCTAAATATATTTTTAAACACACTGTGTCTAGTTTAGAGCTCTTTTATGTCTGAATCTGTCCTATTGTATATCTGAAATCTTTTTCTGATATACAATATCCAGGAGCACTTTTTAAAATGCTAAGCAGTGTTACTAGGATTAAGACTGCTTTGCTTTTTGGCTTCACCCAGTCCAACATAGTGGAGCTCTGTTCACTGCCTCTGAGAGTCGTTCTCTCCACCCCAGATCCAGAGTCAGGTCACAGTAGGTCTATGTTGCCATTAAGCAAGTTGTAGCACTCTGCTTACAAACCCCATTTAAATGTTCCATAGCCAGACCTCCCCAAAAGAGTCAGAGTTCATGATGACAGCACAGCCCAGGAAGCCGCCATTTTGAAACTGCACAGTTTTGTTTTGTTTTGTTTTGATTTTTGCTATGCTGAATCGGGAAGACTTAAGACTCCTCTTAAAGGAGCCGCAGTGTTCCTGCTCACTGTCAGCAAATAGAGCA